AGGGCATAATAATAACCAATTTAAAAGTTATAGAATAAGAAAAAGAGAATTCAGCGAAGAAAGTTTTCCTTCTCGATGAAATCATTTACTTAAGCTGTACATCCGTATATATAGTTATATGGAAAATGTATATCTATAGGAGGATAGAAAAAATTGTATCCCCAAAATGAATTCGACGATAAATAACAAATGAGGTTACGTACTAATCAAGAGGTAAGGAAGAAAATCGTTTATGGGTCAGATAATAGTTATAACTAAGAAAACCTCAATGTTCTAGTTTACTATTATTCTTATAACCTAAGAAGTAATCTTGACTTCGAATACTAATAACTCTTAAAGAAATAAACATAATGTCATAAATTATAATGAGATGATGATTTCACTGAAATTAGAAAATAATGATAATTATTTCAAACAAAATGGTAATAGATGATCAATGTACATTGATGATTGATATCTATTCATTAAGATTATTGTAATTTCTTACATTACATTTTGTTTATAAAAGGTAATAACTAAATTTTCCTACTGTAGTCATATGACTGTATCACTAAAATCAATGTACAATTACTGAACAATTTACTGCTATATTTACTTCCGAATTGCCCTAAATTATGAATGTGATATGAATATTATCATAAATGTACTTCTGTTATTACTTTTAAGGGAAAAAAAGCCTTAATGTACGAACTTATCACTATTAAACTAATTAGAACTAGTGATCACATGTAAAGGTCTCTTGATGACCTTGAACTTTTTCCCATACGAAGCAACTATAAAATTAGTATTTCTAAATACTTGAAGAAACTAAAAACAATAACTTAAAAAGCTACTTGTTTCAGGAAGAATAATATAGTTGTAAATATTAGTGATGAATTTGAAATATTTGGCTGAGAAGTAAAATATACACGGTTACTCTTACATTGTGTAGTTTACATTACCGAATCATCAGTTTGAGCTTTTGGAGATTGTTGGATTCCATTGAAATCATGAACGGTTTAATGTTAGATCACTATCGAAAACCTGAAATCACTGGATGGTCGTTTTGTCCTAGTATAGGACTCCTCAGCAGTGCACACCCACGATCCCGCACGCGAGATTCAAACCCAGCACCTCCAAACAACTGAACTGGGATCTAATAGTGTTAGTGTCTAACTTCAAACAATCTGTGATGTCACGCGATCATCTTATGCTTTTACCAATCGTATTTGTTATTTGTCACTATAATTTTTGAGTTGACTAATTTGTGAATTGACTAAGCTTGTTACATTTAAATAACGCAATGAGAAAACAAGGTTTACCATAACTATTTGTTGAATTAACTCAGTACTTATAAAACAAACTGGTCACATTGTCATTATATATTCATTTTTTCCTCTGAATAAAAAAAGCAAATAAGATCATTTCTATTGACTTGGCCCAATGCCCAAATTTTTTTCTAAACCATTAAATTTCAGGTTGATGTGATATCAACTCTATGTTCCGTATACACTAGGTGTTTAGGAATAGGGAAAAATGATCACATATCTAAAGCTTTTATCACGCAAATACAATTCATTAAGTTTGATATCTATTTATGAATGACCGCAAAACATAAACTAAAAACTAATTCTTGAGTTAGATGATGTAAACTTTTAAATTACATCTTTATGATGGTTGAGATTCATCGGAATCTTTACATTGCTACCTGTAGTATCCAAAATTCTCTTCAGAGTGGAATGGATTGTTCTTTATCCTTTTAATCATTAGTTTTTAATTTCTAAACAGATTAGGTTAGATTTACAGATTATCTGGTTCAAATTTTTAAACTATTATTGTTTGCAGTTACGTTTTATACTGAAAACTTACCTGATATAGTGACATAACTACATCTCGATGTAAGACGCATTGAGAAATTCAAAAATCACCATGGAAACGGTGAATATTGTCTAAATAAACATAAGCAGAGTACAAACATTGATGACACTTATTTGTCTGTATATATTTTTATTATACAAAGTTTATTTCAGTGATTTTACTCAAAAATTTACTAAAAAAGCAGCGTTAGATAGGGTAAACAAAGTTACAATGATTATAATCTTTTAGTCATGTTTAATTGTTCAAGCTTTTAACAAGAAAATATCATCATAATAATAATGTTAACTGAAGACAATTTATAACATAGACTGATATCATCGGAAGTCTATTAGCAGTATATGTTACTATGTCATAAAAAAATGATAAAGGAAAATGGCGAGACTATAATTTATAGACGAACCAATTAGATATAGGATAGTGAGTCACGAATTTTGGCGCGAAATTCATCCATACATTTGGTTAAATAAAATTTTAGCATTATAGCTGAAGTCAGTTTTTGATGAAAACCCTAAATCTAATTTTGACCTTAACGATCAACTGTAAACGAGAGTTCTAACTGCTTTATAACCCCCCCCATTAAGTCCTAATCAGTAGGTGTCCACTCTCAAGATCACTTCAGAGTCGCTCAAATATCACCCATGAGATATAGTCTCACCAGGAACATTACAATTCTTCTCAGTAAATTTAACAGAAATAAGTAAACTGATAGTTGATGTTATAAATTTCAAGCAAATTCAGTGTTAATGAAGCATTAAACAGATAAGAAAGAGAATAAATTGGATTTTCATAAACGAATAACTTTAAAAATATTCAAAAATAAAATATGTGAACTGGACCTTTCTTTTCCCATTCAGTTATTCTCATAAAACATGTATCAGCAATTTTTTGTAGTTGTCTAGAATTCAAGCCAAAAAATAATGTAATCCATTGCATATATAGTACCTTCTTTGTTTATCGACCAACATCAGTGTGAATAATGAGATTTGTTTATAATATTGTTTTCTTCTTTATTTTTTTTATTAACTCCATAATATAAAAGTTGTGGGGTAGATTAGAAAGTTATCCATATTTTATTGCTATTTGTATATAAAATTAACACTATGATTACTACATTAATCTTCAGTACTATACTGTTGTTAGATTCCATTTACATACAAAATACAAATGATTTACAAAATTTTGATGATTAACAACTAATAGACAAATAGTTTATCCATAAAAGAAAAGAAAGAATCAGAGGTAAAATTCTTAAGGAACCAAAATACAAACACGACATGTATTGCAGCGCATTCATATTTTAAATCTTACATAAAGTAAACTTTTATCACATTTTATTAACATATTGTATGAGTTTCTTTTGTAGAAAAATTAAATAATTTAATAGTTAAATATGAAAAAAACCGTTTTTCAAAATTGCAAATTTGGTTAAAAAAAACCAATTTAAAAATTTTAAAAAAAAACCAATTAAAAAATTTTCCTTTTTAATTAACCAAATTTTTCGAACTTTTGGCCCCAATTTAAAAGTGACAAAAATTTTCTTTAAATTTTTTTTTAAAAAAAAATAATTTTTTTTTTTTGGTAAAGAAAAAAAAGGTTTTAAAAATTGCAATATAGTGGTTAAAATTTCTTATATCAATCAATTTATCTTCGTTAGTAATCGTTGAATCAGTTCAAATATGATGAAAGTCTTTCATTCAAGATTGCTCAATAGAAATTCAGTAATGAACTGCAATAGATGTTCAATTTCTCCTGATTTCTAGTAGTTCCCAAGATTTCACATCAAAATAGTTTTCATAACTCACAATTGATTGATCACTGGGTGGTGATCAATGTCATGCTTGTCTAGTCCTTATTAGTGCAGATCGAATGCTATCGATCATGTTGCAATGTGGCCACCAGTCTAGGTGACTCGACACTGCGGGCACTATATATTGAGATTTAGATGATGATTGGAGGTAGTCAACAGGAAACCCTGGACCCGGGTTTCGTGCTACTTGGCACTGGTCAGCAAGGTGTACCCGTAATCTTGAGGGAACTGGTGCTCCCTGGCGGATTCGATCTCGTGTCACTCAGCTTCACAGTCAGAGACGTTACCACTGAGCTATCCGAGCCGTGACTAACCTCCTGTAGGACTGAGATGTAATCATAATTGATTGATCACTGGGTGGTGATCAATGTCATGCTTGTCTAGTCCTTATTTCATAACTTAATAAACTAAATAAGACAATACGTTTTTGTAATCGGCTGTTTGAACAGCAACAATTCAATAAAAAAAACTATCTAATCAATATTGAATAAGTTAAAAAAGGGATTTTTAGTATCAGATAAACAAACTTTCATAACATGATAACAACGGAAATTGCACACAACATGGTAATGATTAGAAAAAAGAGAAGAGTATGATATCTTGTCGAAACTTTAAAACAATACATTCTTTAAATAATAATTCCGTATATAATAACTACTTATTGGAAAGATAATCAATAGTCTAGAACTAAGAAATTCTACTTAATTTATCAATCTGATTTTCTTTCCCATAAACTCTAATCCTTATTAATATAGTTTATGTTATATAAGTCAACTGCTATTAGGGTTATGCTGTAATTTTCTTGTTAAAGGTAAAGTGTTGTTGTTTTTCTTTGAACACAATTCCAATTTATTTATTCACTGTAAAAAAACTGACAGGATTTCAAATTACATTGTTACTTGATACCCAATAATGTGAAGAAGGCTAAGTAAAACTTCATATATAACGTACAGTTTAATAGAGCATGTATAATTGATATATATTTTTACCGTATATAACACACACTAGTAATAATTATACTAATCTAGATTATATGTTCTGTTTAGTTTATCCTTCAGAGTGGAGTCTACTTACTTATCACTAACAATAAAAATAACTGGTGTTATGACATTACTTTAATAATATTTTGATTTCTTTTAAATTATCACTAACACTGACTTTCTCTTGATTGCAATTTTTGATGTTATGCCTGGTAGATGAGTTTATTATGAGTGTCGTGCTAACTAACAATTTACAAAAATAAAGCAGTCAATTAAAACTAATCTTGTCACAAAAAATCATCTTTTGAAAAATAAATGAATAGATCAATGATTTCCCACCCCCCCCCCTTTTATAGAGTTCAAATAACATTTATCCACCGCCAATGGATTGGGTACCAAGACGTCGAAGTTTAAGCGGAACACCATTTAGAACTAGCTGTTATCCAATGATTTATTATTCTTCAACACAACTTCCCAGAAGAAGATCACTTTGTGTTCCACGGCGTCGTTATTCATTTTCCACTCAGCGAAATGCCTATACTGAACCTAATAAAGTCACTTTGGTTGGTAAATCCATGTCCAACTATTCTCGTCCATATTCTGTGTATAACAGTGCAGGCAGTAGTTTATACCAAACTCCAGAATCAAACGGTTATTATCGACCTCATTTGAGACCAACGATCTGGCGTGATTATGAAGTCAACAGGCTTATGAACAATGAAATTTTACCAACATCATACTTACATGCTAGTTCACCGCCAAAACAACATATTTTATCTCCGGTATTTCGACAATTTTTATTTTATTTTCAAAGTTTAATATTATAAGTTAATATCTAAATTCCTCCTTCATTACTGACAGAATTGTTTGTTCTTCTAACTAAAACTGAAATTCAACTTAATATGTAAAATTCTCAATAGAAGAATAAAGAAATGACATATTTTTTTATAATCATTATAAGAATGTTCAAAGATTGAATAAGATCTGAATGAATTGAAAATTTCAATCGGTAAATTTGTGTTTATTGAATAGTGGCACATATCAACATTAATATTATAAAACTGAGAAGATGAGCCATTATTAGTTTGAATCATAAAGAAGATATTCGGTTTTCAATTCAAGATAATAAAAAACCCAGGAATTATCCCAAACTTCATAATGTAAACTTATGAAGTCTCAGTTCATTGAGATCAGAACTAATGGTAAAAATGAGTAGCGCTTATTTATAAACTCTGATAAAGATGTGAGGGTAACAGTGAAAGCAGTTATTCAGATTTTAGTTTACAAGTAAATCAGCAATTAAATTTTATACGTTAACTACTACTTAAATAGTAATTACCATTGAATTAGTTGAGACAACAGTCTAAGCTAATGAGAAAATGTATTGTCGCTGTTAAGCAGAATGCAATGACATTCACTGCAAATATGATTTATCACACCATATTACTATAGATTTGCTTTGTTCACCACCAAAAATTTATTGAGAAGAGCAAATCATCTGTAAAATAAGATATTTACTTTAATAAGTCGATGTAAATCAACTACGAAATATATTAGGATGTGTTTTTTATGCGAACCAGATTTAAATTCATTATTCTCTGATGATACATTAGTTATATCCAGTTTTAAATTATTAGGGTACCTAATGTCAAATCTAAGTAGTACGGAATGTTGAGTCATTACCTGATTATCTATTTGATGACCAAGAAAGGAAATCAATGGAACTATTCACTATTCTAACATTCACACAATCCTTGATTGTACATATTGGAAAAGAACATATTTAAATGGCTCTTATAATGCTATTTTTACATCAACATAGAACTCCAATAAATGCACCTGTTATATTCCTTTCGATAAATATATCTATTATTATCATCTTTCCTAATATTTCTTTTCGGAGCAGAAAGCTAAAGTCTATCTGAAGTATCGATCTCTTCAAAATTTAAGTAATCTATACGATGGTGCAGATGATGTGAGTCGAGTGATAAAATAACATTTAATTTTTTATAAAACACATACACGTCTAGAACCAATACAACATACTTCATCATTCACAGTGTTTGATTTGATTTCGGTCATTTTATTTTTTTTCATTACGCTTCAATTGTTATGGTGATGATGATGATGATGAGGATGAGAACAAAGTAAAATGAACATGAAATTTTAATGTATAAAATCAACATTTTTGCAAAGTACCCAAATGCATGTGTGTATGTTTTGATTTCTTTTTTAAACTGTTTGCGCTTTTTTGTGCATTAATTACTAAAACAATTAAATAGAAATCAGAAAAAATATTCCAAGGAAATCAAGTTGATTTTTATTTTCATCCGAAATGTTTCATTGTTAAAAGACTCTTGTTTTGTTTCGTTCTGTTTTCAGTTTTTTTCTCAAATGAGAATTGTAATCATTAGTTACTATTTTTTTTCCTCCTAGTTACTCGGCTAACATAATTTAAATGATACATTTTAATAATCATTATTCATAGAAACTATTTTCTTTTATGTAAATGGATGTAATGAATATGTATGATAATTATGTTAATCAATGTGCATATTACATAATTTATGCTTGTTTTAAGATTAGCAAGTAAAAACAAACACTTTCTTCAATAATAATTTGATTTATTCACATAGTTTCATTCGATATTAGTTTATATATTCAATTCATTTCTTGTTTTAATTGTTACTAGTTTACACAATTTATTTTTTTGTTTGAAAAGTTGTTTTCTATTCAAAAAGACAATAATCTTCATCATTTTTTATTACACATTTATGATAGTTTTATGGAATGTTGACTAATTTTTATGTTCATAATGAAATAGAGCTTAGTAACTAGATGCTTTGCTTAGAAAGTGTTCGCTTTTTTCTTTGTGGCTGTTTAGGAATAACAATTGTTTTTTGTCATATTCCTTGTATAAAAAAAGGGTTATGATAATGAAAGATCGATAGAATCTGTTTAATATTTTTATTAAACAATAATGATAATTATAAGCAAAGATGGATAGTGGCTAGCAGTGGAATCCAGGACGCGCGTTTCGCCCTGTTTGGGACTCGTCAGCTGGATGTACCTGCATTTCAGAATTGATGTTTGAGTTCGAGTCCCAGAGTGAACATCAACTCTGAGATGCAGGTACATCCAGATGATGAGTCTCAAACAGGACGAAACGCGCGTCCTGGATTCCACTATTAGCCACTATCCATCTTTGCTTATAGTGCTTGTAAATTAAGGCAATATCGAAGCATACGCACAGTATGCACATATGCCAATAAGAGACTGATCGATTTCAGTCCTAAAAACATCAGTGGGAAGACTCAAGTAAAAGAATACCATGTGAATAATGATAATTGTTTTACTTCTATCAGTGTATCACGTAATATATGGCTTAAATATACAGTGAATATTGATGAAACATAAAACTACTTTCGTTAAATAGAAATAAATTAATATAATCAATCACTTTAAATATGTATAGTAATAACATCTATTTAGCTGAATATTATTAGTTTTTATATTCAGTAGAGATAATTAACATGTTACTGTAGTGATAATAAATTAGGTGGGGAAAATCAATTTATTTATCTCATGCAAAATACACAAGTGATTTCGTAAAATATCCCTTCAGTTGTTCTTTAAATGTTTTATGTTTTTTTCTAATTATGTTGTCACTACAATGGATCTTTGTTTTCATTCTTGTTCATTTCAATTCAATCTTCTGCTGACAGATATTCCACTTATGATTAGTGTTACATACTACTTATATATGTCAGCATAAGTGACATACACCATATTCATAAATTAAACATAGAAAACATGATCATTTAAATTATTTCTGAAGTGACCAACGTAAGGGAATGTAAATATATAAAGATTATTCAGTTTCAAATGATCTTTTTTATCATGGACTGATACCATTAAAGATGGATTGTAAATTAGCATAATGGTTTTTTTCTGAAAAAATCATTTATTGTACAATTTTGTAATCAGTTTCAGTAGTATTTTACAAACTAGTAGAAGTTTATAGGATAGATTAAAAGTATTACACTCAGTAAAAATTCAATGTATATGTGTACTGGAACTTAAAATATCAGATACAGTGGTATTATATTTAGCAAAAACCAACATGAAGCAGTGACCACTGGCGTCCAATCGGGTCTGTTGTGAGATAGTAACTCAATGAAGACAATGGTGAACGTGTGGCTCAAACTCGTGGAATGGTTGAAGTTAGACATTAACACCGTGGGTTGCCGACTCAGTGGTCTAAAGATTAGGCGTTCACGTGCGAGACTGATAGGTCCTGGGTCCGAATCTCGCATTGCGGGATTGTGGATGCGCACTGCTGGGGAGTCCCACAATAAGACGAAACGGCCTTTCAGTGCTCCTAGGTTTTCTATAGTATTCTAGCCTCAATTGACTGATGATCTCAATCATTAAATTACTATAATATCCACAAAAACTCCTTCCTGATATTAAATATAATATTTTATGTGTTTATGGATAAAAAGTTGGTTGAAAATTAACATTTTAAAGATTAGTTTCTTGGGATTATTGCATCAGAGTCTTATTTTTCACTGCTTTCATTGTAATGCTCTGCTTTGCTTTTATTTCAAGTACGTTGTCAATGTAACACTATTTAGAAGACAATATTTTCTTATCTACTGATGTAACGTCTCACCATTAATTCTAGTAATATTTGATATGAAATTGTTAGTATCTGATGCAATTAATCTAGTTTTCTTATTTGAAGATAGAGCTCTTTGTGTATTGAGGACTTGTACATTTCTATATTAAACTGCCAGTAAACTTTATTTTTATTGAACATCATATCAACTTTCAACTTTTATCTGACCATAAATATAATTTATTGAGAGTTATCTTATGAAATCTCAACATAAAGCCAAAGTAAATAAATTTATATAAACATCACATATCAACATGAGATCAGTTGATGCGTAAACTACTGATTCGATTCATCTATCTGTCCTATTGAGGTAAATGGAATCAAACCTTTGAGATGATGCTGAAGATTTGTAGCTTAGGTGGAAGTTAGTGCTTATGATGTCTTTCAGAAGAACATGAAAGATCCACGACCAAACCACCCATCTCAGAGAACAAAACTCCATCTGAATCAAATCTAACATATAGCATAAGTTCTCAAAAGATTATAAATACATCTTACTGACAAGTGCCGATTAACCCAAAACCCAGCGTCAGGGTTTTTACTTGATGCTCTTATCAATAAGTTCCTAAAGTTTTCATCGGTTATTTGAAGGAAATTAGTTTAAAGTACAAAACCTTCTATAATCTTTAATCTATCTTTATAATTATTTACGCAAATCATTTTGTTCTATTTTCTTAATCACAGGAGAACGGTATGCCACGTGTAATCCATACATCATATAGCCGTAATTTTCCACTGCATACTAGTCGTTTGAGTTCAGTGCCACCGTCAGCAGTTGGGACGTATCGTTCAACAATAACTAGTACAGATTATGGATTGCCACCCGTTGTACATCGAAATTACAGAACGAATCGATATATTTATGAAACGCCATATTATACATCAACATATGTAAGTAGTTCATACTTTGTACGATCATAGTAACTTAATGTACTATTTTCCCCATGCTTATACTACTACTGTACATCATGTCTTTTAGCATGTATTATCCAATCATTTCATCAGAGAAGTTTTAATAGTTTTTGTGTTATTAATTTAACCTGTTTGATGAATTGATTTAAAATATAATACGCCACATAAACTGCATGAATAATGATATCATAACAATTAACCACCGCGTACATACAAACTTTAGAAGATAAAGCACTTTGAAAATTCTAAACCCAGAAACCCCGGAAATATAAATTTCAAGTTTCATCATACGTATCACTGTATATTACTTGTCTTTCTTAGATGGCTTTATATCATCGTTTATATTTTTACAATTACTCATTAAACAAGCATTATGGACATTATCATCTAAACGGATTTCTTTACAATTCTAACTATTGATAAAGAAATTACTTTATATCGAATTCCTTAGAAACGCTTTAAAATTTACCAGTACTATTGTCAGTTATTTTTAGTAGTGAATAGAAAATAAAAGTATTTTATCATCATTGAAAAGGTTATGCAGAAAAATAGCATCAATATATATAATCTACTTATGTGTTATACATGAAAGAGGAATTTCTATATTAGGGATATTCTTTAATATTCTAATCAAAAAACACTAAACCTATAAGTGCCACATTTTAAGACAGGTTACTGTTAACTTTGAAAGGTTACAAAACCAATCAATCTATGTAAAAATATTTTTCATTTCATAGGTTCCAAAAGTATTTCCTGACTTGCTGACGAAACGTATAGGTTCACTGATAATGTTTATTGATATTGCTTATCAGAAATAATCATATATCATCAAGATCAAAACATTTGAATTTCATGTTGATTACACCGTTATTAAAAGTAGACAGGTAAAAAAACAATGTTGTTATAAACAATTAGAATGCACCATTGATATATTACTGAAATATAAGCCAAAACAATTTGCTTCAGTATATTTCTCATCAGGTTCGACATTTACAAATTTATCAATATTTTAATATAATAGCTATTCTAAAGGTATTATATACTTATCCACTGAGAATTATAATCCGACGTTTTACTGGTCACTGTAATGAAATGTTGATGAACTTGTGTGTGTAGAATCTGAGGGTCAAGTTATTAAAAAATAATTTTTAATCCAAGTGAATGTATCCCATATTTTTAAACGGTCAGTCAAGTCCTTAAAATTACAAAGAATGTTTTTATAATTACGATGTGAATGCCTTTATCAAACCACAGACAAGAAAGTTCATCATAGTTAAAACCCTTTATGACTACTCAAGAACTAGTGGTTCATGTCGATTCTGAAAAATGTGATATAAAAGCGATTTTTATTACTTGTTAAAATGACTGAAACGAATTTAGTAAGTTACTAACAATTTGAGAAACAGATTTTGTAACATTACAATTTATGGAACGATAACAGTAATCTGTCAAAAGATAAACCAATTTTACATAATTAATTTATTTATTGAAGTTTTCTACAGAATTTCCTGTAACAAATTAGCAATTCAACATATAAATTCGTCTGAATGGTTACACAACATCTTGTTGTTGAACCAATGTTAGAACCCAAATAATTATCTAAGAGTTCTTGATTGGAACTAGGCTTAAGCTTTAAAGTTTAGTTGCTTATGTTATATTATCTAAACAAAAAGAAACTAGTATTCAATATGTTTAACACAATCATTTATACATCCCAATGGTTAAGATAAATCAGAAAAAGTTATTCAATATTAAATCCCGTGTAAAACAAAAAGGCAAAAGTTATTTTCTACATTCTAATTGCCTCCTTCATTTTTTTTGCAGAAACGAAAAAGAAAAATAACATTTTACCATTGTGCATTCACATTTGTTTAAATATTGTAATACAACATTCCATAGATTTATTTCGAGTTTATTTTCAAAGAAAGAAAGAATGAAATTCTTTTGGTTGTCATACGACAAAACTTAAAATGTCGTATGATATTTTAAGTCAGCTTATTTCTAAATGTTTTTATTTTAATGAATAAAATATGAAATTCATGTTAATTACTGACTTGAAGAAGATTATCCATTTTCAAATGAATGTCATTTTGTTGATTAAATAACAAACAAACAAAACATTTGGTACATTTTATCATTATTACACAGTGATAAGAGTTATATCTAACTTTTGATTATGTAAAAAGAAACTAAATTCTTACCTTATTATATATATATATATATATATATATATATATATATATATATATATATATATATAATCTCTCTTTAATTAATAGATACTGAAAGATAAAACAAATGAGCAAAAATTCTTAATTGGATCTAAGTAAACTAATACATCTATATGTATATAAGATACATTCAACACATTAGTCGTATTACATTTTTTTTCATTTATGGAATAAGTGTGTTCTCGAAAATCATTCACGAATAAAATCTGATCATTAATCTTTATTCTTCTCTATCTTATCGGTTCAAAAAACATTCTATTCATAAAGCAACGTATTCACTTTTTAAAGGATATCCAAATTGAATTCACTTGGTATTGTTTGCTTGTATGTTTTCATTGTTGTTTAGGACTGTATTTGATCAGTCACTTATTGTTCCTGATCAAATGCAGTCCTAAAGAACAATGAAAAGATACAAGCAAACAATATCAAGTGAATTTAAACTTCACTTCATTGCACAAGCAGGTGGCTATCAGAACTCAGTAGCTAAGTGAATAACGTGATGGCGTTTGAAGCAAATGTTATTGGTTTGGAGTCCCAAAGTGAATATCGACTCTGGGGTACAAATACACCTAGCTGATGAGTCTTGAATAGGATGGAATGCGCATCCTCGACTCCATTGCTAGCCACTATCCATCTCTGCTTGACATGCAAATGAATTTTAAAAAGTATATGGCGAATTGTAGTTTAATTTTTTAGTTGTCAATTTACAATTTTTGACTTACATAATGTAGAATTTTAGAATAGTTACAATGATACTTTTCAACTTAACGTATATAAATACAGGGAAAATAAATAAATTCCCAATGTAACCTTATTTTAAGTCGGAGTATATTTGTTGAAGTTCTAATTATTATTAAAATCTTTCACCTGACTTTTCTACAATCGTTTAGAGTAATATTGAACCTATAAGAACTACTTATACAAGTATTGGACCAAGACGATATACATATTATTATCCATCAATTGTTACTACAAGACCATTGTCGAGTTCAGGTTCGTATAGTAACTTGTCTAGTGATATGCAAGCTGAGCGTAGACGAATTGAAGTAAGTTTTCATTGATTATCTTGTTCATTTTTATTTTGTTTTTCATGAATGCTGTAAAAATGAAAACGTATTTGACTTTGAATACGTCTCAGTTTGTACATAATTTAATTCTCATAAGTTTATGATAACTGATCACCTCTATTATGTTTTGATCAGTTGGTCAGTTATGTTATTTGAGAACTTTCCGGAACTTTACCTGTAAGCATCTTACCTGTTATACTAGAATTAAATGTAAAACAAAGTCATATTGAACCCATTTTAGCATGGCATTTCAGCTTCGAATAATAAAATTTAATTTAGATCACTTTATAAAGAAACCAAACAGTTTAAAACAAGATAGATGATTTATTCATTGAGATAAAAGATTACCCATTCATTCTGTTTAATTCAATATTATACATACAATAAGACAGTCAGTTATGTCGTATAAATATTTTAGCTATACATGAAATTATCATCATCTATAGGTCTAATGGACTGAGAATTACAGTTTTGATAGAAATGTCTTGATGAAATCATTCCAGAGGCGTACATTCAATGCTTGAAATACACAAAGTGTGTATAATGAGATTATCATGTTTGTATAAAAATGTGTTGATTCGACTCTAAGTAGATTTATAGACAGAACACACTACATTTAACATTCTTTCACCTAACCAGTATCATAAACGAAATACGTTACAAAATTTACAAATATTTTTTATGCTATCTTTTCTTCTATAACACCTTTTTTTACATAATTACCAGTAGTTTTGTACTTTTCTAAATATGCGAAAAACACTATCATTGTCTACCAAAGATTTTTTTAAAATAAATTTTACACCAAATGACCTTTAAAAAAGTAGATTCATCAAATAAAACATTGATCAATATAATATAGATCTTAAACTCTTGGTAACTATTTCAAATCAATTACTAGAAATCAATAAAGATTTGTTAAGGGGTGGAAAATAATAACAGTTTCTATTCTAAAACGGTTTACAACATAACTTATAGGTGAATTTCGAAAAAATGAAAAAAAATAAAGTTACGTTTTTTTTCTTTTTTTCTTTACTGAATATTTGGAATCGCGTCATAGAGCGTTATAGTTAAGTTGAAATACAGAAATTACATCACACAACTTAACGGTAATAGCAATATCATAAACTGATTATGCAATGAATACTTATTAATTAAATGTTATAAATATCATTATCCCTTCAATATAAGGGTAGTTTAAAACAAAATAAATGGATAAACTACATAATTAAAATAACCCATAGCGTCATTGAATAAGAAAAAAGAGAATTCAGCAAAGAAAATGTTCTTTTCGACGAAATCATTTACTTAAGCTGTACATTCGTATATTGGACTATTATCTGACCGATAAATTCTGTTCTTCCTTACCTCTTGATTAGTACGTTAACCTCATTTGTTATTTATTCTTGAATCCACTTTTTTGTGGTACAATCGTTTCTATCCTTCTATAGACATACATTTTCCATATAACTATATATACGAATGTACATCTTAAGTAAATGATTTCGTCGAAAAGAAAATTTTCCTCGCTGAATTCTCTTTTTTTATTGAATAAATTATATTCTAATGAAGATACTCAATTGCTTGTACGATTATTACGTCATCGTTTTAACATTGAATTGAATAACTTGTCAGTTGTTCAATTACTTTGAGAGTAAATGCTGGAATGATAAATGAGTGCGATATTATTTAGTAAAACATAAAGATAATAATATAATGGTTGAATTTAGATAATAGATCAATATACATGACCCAGTACATTGAAAAACATTTGTATTATATATATGACAGCCTTTACAAAGCATTAGGCTTAATATTCGATACTTATAGTTACACTGAAACTCAAATATTGGATTTTAAGTTTAATTCAACAAATAGTAAATCTACAGAAGAAATGTGTTAATCAACACTGAAATTAATGTTTCTATATAATACTCAGTTTGTACAATTCTTTCATTCTGTACCATCTCTAGAATTTGAGCACATATTATTAATCATTTACGTAAGGGCAAACTATATTTGACGAAATCTTATAAACATGGTTGTAGATTTCAATTTGAGTTAGCATAATCTTTATATTGGATGATCTCAAATATTTTCCTGAAATTCTTGATAAAACAATTTCCTTGTTAAATAAATAAATAAATCTCCATTTCAATGGTTGAAATCATGAGTCAATTGAAGCTAGACCACCATGGAAAACCTGGAAGCACAAAACGGTGTTAATGTCTAACTTCAACCAATTCATGGTGGTCTAGGTTCAAATGACTCATGATTTCAACCATTGAAATTTCTAAAAATCTCCACAAAACCCATTCTGATAATAAAATCTCCATTTCTCATTCAAATTGATATACTATTAACCTTTATAGGCATATATGACAAATCTATTTAAAAACTGTAGCTTCTGTTATATTTCTTTTTAAAGAAACAATGTAAGTATATATAGTTGATAATTTCTTGTATTGTTGTGTTTCAATGTTATTTCAAAACACTTCTGATTTTTATCAAAAGTAACTAATTATCAAATTAGCTGAAAAATGTTATCCCTAAAATGTTATGGTAACAAACATTTATTTGTAGTAATTAATACAATTCAGGAACGCATATCCCTAATTTTAAAGACACACAATCAAATACATTCAACAAAGTATAACAATAATCAGCTGGGTAATGACACCAATAAGTATAGCTAAAAGACATATCTGAGATTGAAGCAAGTGCATTGTGTAATTAATTATTTTACAATCATTTTTAAAACCCATCAGTTGATCCTCTACAAGCTCGACAATATTTGAATATGTTTCACATTTAATATATATCCACAAACTGTTCTGTTACCTTTGAATATTCATGATTCAGGATTACTTACTTGATCTGTTTCCTTCTTTATATGACTGACTTTTACTAAACTCAAATACTATATTTCCAATAAATCTCATAATTGATTTTTTATTAATTCACCAGTGTTTTGAGAATAGTCATATAGAATTTATTCAATATCAACTAACATACAAATATCTCTGCATGAAGTTTCATAGAAAATATGTTCGTTTGGAAAACATTAAATGTTAAAACGAGCACAATTCTGCTTAGCCATTTTCTTACAATACATTTCAAACATATATAATGGACCAGATTGTTCGAAATGTATAGCGCAAATACATCACATTTTTCAGATAAACTCCGTCTTCTCATTTTTCGATTAAAATATATAACGGACTAGTTAGACTCAATAATTTGTGTATGTCTATTAGCATCCTCTGGATTAAAATGACCCATAACATATTCTTGTTCTAGAAATAGGAATTCGATTGATAATTAGTTATTTTCAATTTCCTGTTAGTTTTTTTAAAAAAAGAAAGCTTGGTTACAGTTTTGATAAACTTTTCATGTTACATATAATCAGTTTCATAATTTACTTATATTTCATTATCTGTTGAATGATTCCATTTCTTTTCTTTGTTGTTTGGCATCTGATCAAGTGTGTAAGTTAATAACAAACTAAAATGTCATTCAATTTATAAATGAAATTTAGTCTTAATTCTGTTTTTAAAATCTTTCCTACTGATATCTAAAATTTGATATAAAATGAATTAAACTAATAGCAATAATTCAGAGGTAGTTATTATTGAATCCTGATCGTGTGAATTTATTTTCACGAGATGTATTATACTGTACAATTATTCATAGGTTTCACAATTTTGCAATATTTTACAAAATGACTTGGATGAAACGTATCTTGTAAAGTGTGTCAATTTTACACGATTGTTGAATAGTTCTTCAAGCTGTAATATTTGATCATGAATGTTTGGTTATTGAAGATGAATCACTTATCAGATTTAGTCTCATTTTTCAAAAAAAAACGAGGATTTCCTATATTATATAAATGTTCAAGAGAATGTTCCGCTGACTTCAAAGTTCAGAAGACATTAAATAAATATCATTCCTACATAGTACTCAAAAACTACTTCATTAAAGAAGAAACCATGATAGTACATTGTAACACCAACTGAACATCTGAATAGATATATTTGACTGATAAAGCTAGTAAACATAAGGTCAGTATTGAGAACATTTAATTCAAAACATTCTTTAGTAAGTATGAAGAAAGACAAGACACTCCAATGAATGTTTATTTCAACTGTGCTAAACATAGAAGCCATGTCATAAATATCCCATTCAACTTGTTTGAAAAATATAACCAATATAAACACAGATTGAATTATTCATTCTCATTGTAAATTTCACTCCGACATCTATTCAGATACATTTTGATGTTTTGAAAAAAAAACATCTTGTTTGTTTATGTTAAACAGACAGGATAATAGTTCACTTTATGTTTTCTAATATTCACCAACTGTTAGACCTTATTTCTTTCTGTTACTATTCTAGATTATATCCTTTAAAGATCAGGATCACACATGACTGCGAAACATTGAAAATTTATTTGACCACCCAGTTGGTTATTACTAATAACAAAAATTACCTGATTTGACAGGAGTAATTGTTATCAATAAATAATTACAATTTACACAAATCCGATTTGAATTTAAGCATTTAATTTCACTGAAACTATTTTCATTGGTCATCAGCATGGGTTTATTTTGTTTGTAGATTATGAAACTGTGTGAATACTTTGCAATATCACTTGCTTATTCATAAGCTACAACATGAACATTAATTACACAACCAATATGTAGACTGATGCTTATCGACTAGATTAATATGATTTGTTACCAATTTTTTTTAATTTTACAGTGTATATTTCCATGTATTCTAATATGTAAACTAATATACACTATTTTTATGTCAAAAATAAGTTTTGAAATATTTTTATAATTGTACATCGTATATATGTAATTTCACGCTATTCAATAGCGTCGTATGGACGATTTATTGGAATACAAATTGCCCTCACCTGAATACTACAGGGAAATGAGGGGATCCCTACGTGCATTGAATGACAAATTAGATGTTCATCGGAAAATGCTTGATCGTTACTCCGGAATTGATATGAACGCTACAACTGCATCAGTACAAGATCGAATTGAATCAAAATATCAACAACTTGCAAGCAGGTTCGTTGAGTGGACAGATATTTGAATTTGGTATCTTCTAACAAACGACTTATCTAACAAAATTTTATTGCTATTTACTTTTTTCTATGTACTGTTATATGAATGCTATACATAGAGTAGTTTTATATGATGGGTGTGTAAATACCTCCTATAATTTATTGTTTTGTGTGAATGTGTTAACATTCTATCTAAAAAAAAGAGTTGATACAAAAATATCGATGGTAAAGTTATAAAAGGTGTAAAATATATTTCAGTCTAGTTCATGATATGACTACAGGGCCAGTGTTAATTATTTAAACGTTTCCAATGATTAGTTCCTGGAATAAATTATGGATTGACAAACATTACATTGTCACACTAACCTACTTCACAAAGAGTATTATATTTAATTTATGGAAGAATTTCACTACACTTTATTATATATAGACATATATACCAGTTTCATAAATCTAAGTGGAAATAATTCAACTGAAAATCCCCCCCAAAAAAAGGAAACGTTAAGTGTGATAGACTATTCAGCTTCATAGGTACTGACTCATTCATCATGATAAAAAAATACCAGTAGTCATTGCTATCGTATTTAAGCATTACACCTTTAGTTCGATTTCCTTTTTTAAGTAATACTATTAGCTTTATTCTAAAAAAAACCAGTCTTAATTAATAATAATGAACAAGTACACTTCTTGAATTTATAATTATTTCAACTTAAATATTTTGATGCTTTAAACATTATTCTATCTAAAAATATTAATGATTGTTTTCTGTTAAGTTTCCACATTTCTGAAGGACCGGAAATAATTTTCCGTTAGTGGTTAACGGATGATGATATCTTGTGATCTTGAAAATAAGACAATTTAAAATAAAATGAGGGTTTGCAATTCTTGTCAAGAAGTATTTTAGGTCTTTATAGTGGACCAGGAAACAAATTCCAATGTCTATATACCACTTGTCATAGTAACATAGCACTAAACCATCGTTATGGTTAACGTAAGGATTTCACGAAAAATTGAATGTTAATAGTGTATTAAAAATATTTACTAATGGTAATATAATTGAAGAGTGTTAAAATAGTCTTTCTCAAACATTTAGATAGTGTATGACAAGAAGACAAGATGTTTCAGAACCATGTAGCATACATGTATCATCTCAGTTCATTCTGTGCAACCTGACTACGTAATAAATTGTTCGGATATTAAGAAAGATAAAACTCAGATGAAATGAATTACGAGATAAGAACATCTAGGATAATGAGGAAAAGTAAAGCTACTCATGAAACTTAGTGTAAAACAGTCAAAACTAATGACACAAAATTGGATTTAGTATAAGGAAAAACTATCTGAGAGTACGCATTGTAGCGGACTTAAATTTTTGTGTAAATAACACTTTGACAAATTTAACTGTTGACTTATTAAGACTTGAGTACATTCTTACACAGGCTGTTTATAGATTGATCCTATGGCTTTTATTATCACTGTTGCGCTAGTACATCAAAGTTTTGTTAACTAAAATCTTTCTATTACTGTATCCAATTTTACATGCTTCAGTCTTTAAATATAGAGTGCTGATTTACGATGTCAAACTCCGGCTGAATAACTTAAAATCTTCAAAGAAAAAGTATTCTCTGAGCTAGTTAATTTAGTCATGAATCTTTCAAGTATTAGGGAATTTCTCTAAAAAGTAGGCATTTACAAGAGAATAATTAAGTTTTCTCCATAAGTACTTATTCCAATATATTTTGTCATAGAAAGGATAATGGAAGCTTCACAAATAAACCACCCAGCTGAGAGAATACAACTCCATATAATTTATCTTAACCACTTTGCACTCGTCAGTAAGGCGTACCTGTAATCTTGAGGGAACTGATGCTCCCTGACGGATTCCATCCCGTGTCACCCAGCTTCATTATTAGAGGCGCTATCTGGGCCGCAAGTGGTCTCTTGTAGGACTGAGATGTATTTACAATTGACTGGTCATTAGGTGGTGATCAATGTCATGTATGTCAGGTCCTTCTTAGTGCACAAAACCTAGGTCCAGGGTTTCCTGTTGACTACCTCTAACCACCATCTTATCTCAACATAGTTCACGCAATGTCGAGTCACCTAGACTGGTAGCCACATTGATACTTGGTCGATAGGATTCGATCTGCACTAAGAAGGACCTGGCATTGATCACCACCTAGTGATCAATAAACTGTGAATATCTATCCTAACCTACAAATATTCTTAATAATCTCATACTTTAAAAAATTTCCCAAAATATAAATTGGTAATTTATTGTTAAGTTAATAAGTAAATTCAGTTTTGAAAGAGGAACTGTTAAATTTTATAAATATGAAAATATATCCGACTGGAAGTAATTGGTTAAAAAGAAAGCTTAAATGGCATTCATTCGTAAATCAGAGCTGATAAACTATCTATCAGCAGGGAGTTTTACTCCAAATGAGGAGAAAATCAGCAGTTGTTATGATAATGATTCTCTAGTTTTTTCAATAGGATTTATAATAACAAACTATCATCAATTCGCTAAACGTTGTCATTCAAACGCAGAATCAAAACAACATATCAAGTTTCTTAATACTACTGATAAATAATATTGTAAATATTATCGTTTGGAAGATTAATAACAGTCTGTTACGTCAAACAAGATTAAGTATCCAATTTTGTTTTTTATATTACACTAATTTATAACAAGTTCATAAATAATTCGGTTAAAAGGAAAATCCAACTCTGAAGTAGATCTACATGAATTTACGTTTAGTAATATATTTTGTTTATTAGTAATTTTTACTTCAGTACATTCAGAAAGGTGAATTATTCGACCATGTTTCTATTTTGATGAGAAACCACTTGTATAGTAGTGATTGTTCATACAAATAACGTTTATATATTCCGTATATTTGAATACAAATTTCATCAAGACTGAATGCTAGCTGAAGAATAACTGAGAACCAATAAAAACAGAACAGTTGTTTTTGTTTCAAGTTAGGACTTTCCACATATACACATCTAAAATCTCACACGAAATCAAACCCATGATATACAGATTCTACGATAACCAGCATAAGCTTAAGTCACTGGTAAGGAATTCAATATTTTTGAATTAAGTCCTCTACAACCCGCAGTCAATGTCATTTCTGTTCTAAGACTTCTTGAGACATTGTATATGTTAAAAGACCCTTCATTAAGACTGAAGAAATAATAAGTTGAAAGGAAGGAAATTAAACAAGTTATTCAAGAATTAGGTTTATAAATAAGACCACAACTCATTTATTCATAGTACTAACGTATTTTAATAAGATTAACAACAACAAAAAGCAGTGTACTAACACGCTTTTCTTCAATAGAATGGGCCGTCGAACCACGTGAGTTCTGCATATGACTAGCTGAAAATTAAAAAAACCGCTGCTAATTTTGGTTGATGAAAAAAAGGGATGAGCATGATGTTACTGCTTAAAATGTTTATTTTTCAACGAATTTTGCTTTGAAAAATATTTATGTCACATTCTTACTGCAAAATAAAGTGTATATGAATTCACATCGTTTCTCCTATGAACATAATGCACAAATTTTAGTTGAATACAAATGATATGGAAAACAAAATACAGTAGAAAAAATCTTCCACTGTTTTGCTTGTTTATTTAATTGGCTTTATTTCATTGTTAACATTTGTATGTATTTATAGATTGAAAGTTTTCCAATAAATTTGTTACCTTAGTTCTATGTTGACTGTGATTTGTTCATTGAATTTAGTTTAGATATTTGCATACCATCTATTAAATTTGAATCACACTGGGGTTTTTTTCTATTTGTATCTATGTAAATGCTAGTGGTTATCTAAACTAAAGAAGGTATGATAGAGGATTTAAACTTGCAAATTAATGGCTTGAATTCATTTACTTTAGTTATTAAATTACCTCTTCTAGAGTATGATTGATGATTATCGATTTCAACGCATATATTTCTACATCAATGATTTCACATATGAGTAGTATACTCATCAATAACAATAACATTAGGTATAAACAATAAGAATGCCATTTGAAGATGATATCTATCCCTAATTAAAAATGAACTAAAAACAATAAGAAGCTTTCTAATGGTATTTCATCTTACCGCTACTACTAGAAATAAGAGAGCTACTCTCAGTTATTACGATGGATTGTATTTTTATTAAGTCATGAAATGATGAAAATAAATAACTTTATTAGACGTAGCCAAGTAATACCATTTTGTTCTTTATCTTCTTTAACCAATGAAAATTTATAAAATTGAGCATTAAAATAATTTAATCTTAATAATAATTCATTGATTCTCGTTTGTTCTTTTTATCATATTTGTTTTTTCTCCTTTTCTTTCAATTTCTCCTGCATGATATTGACAATTATACCGTTTATTTCCATAAACTATATGCGCTTACACGTATATATATGTACATATATATATTTAAAATTACATACGTTAAATTACGTAACTGTCTTTACAATATTGATATAACTAATTGTACCTTCTTCTATTATTGCTGTGAAATTATATATCACCGCAAAATTTATCGAATAATCGCTGACCTGTGCACTGTTATTGGCTCTGATGCCATTTAAATTCCTATGTAACTACTGTTTGCAATGCATGTAATATATATATGACTTCCTTGATGATAATTTTGGTCATATAAATCAATAAACAAATGGAGTATTTGTTCCATACTAGAATGCCAGAATTGAATGGATACAGATCACATGGACCAAGTCTGAATACATCAGAGCTTGAGACAAATCTTTATTATACAAGTCCAAAGACAACGATGGTATAGTTGGAAAAATAATAATAATAATTTGTGATTAATATTAGTTAGAGAGGGAATAAGTAGTTTACTCCTGAAGCTAATAAGATACAGCTATGATATATAGTTAACCTAAATAACTTTACCAGAAGAAAATTGTTGTTCTTATAGACGAAATATAATTTAAAAGCTGATACCTGTTAAATAATTAGTAATAGTATGATGTATTTTGTAATATCATATCAAAACTCCTTTACTATTATATTTATTACTTTAATAAAATACTATCGAACATGTATGACAATTCGATTGAATAGATTTAATGGAAAACTCATTGTTTTAATTATTTAATTTTCGTAATTATAAGTTAAAATTCAATTTATGTAATGAAACAATCGTAAATACATTGAAACATTGATATTTATGCATGAAATATGTATGTATTTTGCATGGGTACGATTTATTTTAACTCTCAGTATTATTCAATATTGTTTAGTCTAACATAATAACTGTTAGTTTTCATGATATATATTGTATTGAATAGACAACTATTCCTATTTGATGCATGAATATGTGTATTATAAATATGCCTATGTATTGGAAGAAAATGTAACCATTCAAATAATTTAACAGATATTATAGAAAATATTATAAATTTCTTGGAATGCTACTTATTTCATTAAATAAACTACATATAACATATATTCATATAAATGTGTGTAGTTTGAAAGGAAAATTCTGCGAACATTATTTCCCATCCCATCATAATTGTTTAAAAGTAACAGTTATGAAAATGTTTTTACTTATATGTACTTGATTCAGTTCATGATATCATATACACTCAGTAATGTAAAGGAATATACAATATAATGGTTTGATATAACGAACCGTATACATAAATCATATTCAAACTATTAGATAAAATACAATCAAGATAAGTAGTTAACAAGTAATCTATTAGGAAAGAATGAAGTTCTACACACACACAAAAAAAACAACCTATGATTAGTGATAAACATAATTATTGGGTGACTGGAATCATTAAACTTGTTAATAATAACTTACATTTGTAAGACGAAATTATTGAATTTTTTGTAAAAAAAATGAAGAATTCTGAAGCAAAAGTATTCAATTACAATTGCATTCAGTAAAATGTATATTTATTTACAAAAGCGATATCAGAACTAGAATGTTAGTGGATATTGCTGATATAATTCTATTTACTATGAGCTACTAACAATTTTAAATTCATCCTTAGATATGAAATATAAGTATGCATGTAAGTAAAATATTTGTTATAACCAAAGTCTCCTAGTTTCCTATAATATGTTTGTATTTTATTTGTAGGGCTATGGGAAGGGATTAGTGTATCCTGAAGGTAGTCAGACTTCTGAACTAAGGGGAAGAATTAAACGTCTTTTGTGTCGTTCCCGACGTGATCCTCATTATTATCGTTATCTACCAACAGGAGTCGTATAAATACTTCAATGAGACTATAATGAATCCATATACTTGGTGTTTGAAGTGATTATTGTTATTATTATTAAACTTATGTTATATATACCGCATGCTTATTCAAATTGATAATCCCTTGATTTTGTTCTTCATGTTTTTATTACTCTCTCTCTGTTGAACTCCTATTTTGCTTTTTCTAATCTACATTATTCTTGTTATGATATTTCCTAGTTATTAATTTAATAAAGAAGAACAGTTTCAGCTTTTTCTGCAACACACATGTTTATTCCCAGGTATATATATATATATATATATATATATATATATATATATATAATTCTTCAAACTATTCAATAAAGAAAGCTATTTAAATGCCAATTACATTTTCGTTTTCATAATAATTAAGAACCAAGTGAAACACCTTTATTTCGTAGATAAAAAAGGACCGTAAGAAAAAAAAGGAGAACTTCAAATAAACAAATTATGGTTTACAGTAGCTTTCACTTAATTTTAATATTGTTATTACCATTTCTATTCTTGTTCTTATGTTTCCCACTTAATGATTACACAATAAATATAATCTATTCTGCTAAAGCTGTGTTACCATATTACTTCATTATGCCAATCACTTGAAGAACCGAAAAAGAAAAAACTAATTACAATATGGTTTTAATATTTTTGTTCTTTTATCTAATCTTTTTTTGAACTGTTTATTTATTTCAGTATGACTTCAATTCTTAATGACGTGAATTTGGATGAGTTAGTAGAGAAGACGTGTAGTTTAGGTGGATGACAAAGGTGAAGTTCTTTTGTTTGAGCTGGATGATTTGGTCGTGGAGCTTTCATTATTCTTCTGAACATCATCAGCATAAACTTCAGATAGAAGTGAAGTATTCGGATTTCTTCGCTGATGACTAACAGCTTATGCTGTCGACCTCGATCGTGATTGGTAATGTAGAAATAACATGTCATTCTTTGCAACTTTATTTTGATTGTTTCTCCTCTCGATCTGATTCTTAGTCCCATATTTGTCGACGATTATTGTGGTTGGTTGATAAGTTAGATCAATTCCAATGTTTTTTGACTGACTTGGTTGCCTAGCTTCTACAAATTCTCTGATGTTCTTAGTACGCCCTCTATCCATGATTTCGAAATTCCCCCTTTATTCTATCCTGAACGAATATTAAATAACATCATTGCTTATGTTAATGCATATAGACAATCATGGACACACGTTCGGCTTGAAAATATTGAAATCTAGAATTTACATGACACTAAAAGCCCCAGAGAATTGAATTGATAGACAGATGAATTGATTTATAGACCTGTGGAGTCCAGTTTAGTTTGTAGATAGTCTCGTGCGCTAGAACGAAATATATATTCAGTATTTCCTGGTTCCTCAACAGAGATTAAAAACTGACAAATAATTAATATCAGCATACTAGGATGAAACAACTTCACCTGCAGTTGTAATGTTTTCATCATTCATTTATTGTAATATAGTTTAGTTTAACGGATATAAATAAAGTCGACGAAATTATGGAGTTCAAGAAGAATGAAAATTAGATCAATACTCTGACTAGGACTTACGGATAAAAAGTACATACATGCTACACATAGGTTAAAATGTTGATTTGAACTTAATTACCGTAATCCTTCAAAGGATTTACAAGAAAATGGTTTCAAATCACTTCTTTGAAGTGTATTAAAAAGAAATGGAGCCCCAATTAGAACTTTTTCGTGATCCATATGCTTCTAGATGTTAGTTTTTAAACGTATATAATGATTACTACTGTCAATTCAATGACATAAAAATATTTACAATAGATTGTTCACCGATTAGTGACGAGTATCATGTATGTCATTTATTTCTCAATAGCGACTTAATTATACCAATCAATTTGCTAACGCGTCTCAACTAGCACGAAACCCAAGACTTCCTAACGACTACCTCCAATCACTAGCTTACGTACAGATATAAACAATGAGTGAGGTAGAAACTGGAGACAGTATCAACTATGGGACAGAAAACAAAGTTTTGTAACTCAAAATAAACTAGCACTTTGGGTATTGACTTTAAGTGATTAAACGATAAATCTCTGGAATTACTATATTCAAGGTGACAAGCATTACGAAAATAACTAAACCTCATACCGACAAATTAGTTTTGGGGAATAGATTGTGAGCATACCGTTTTCGGTCTCCTACTTGTCGTGTAAAACTGAATGCATAAATGATGAAAATTCTCTACAACTCTCTATAATTCAGAAACATAAACCATAAGACAACTTATATTCTACGGCAAGGCTGTTATGGACTAGCATATAGTTAAAAAACTTTTCTGAAACGGTTACTGATCTAATTTACTGCTTCCAGTCAATATATGACAAAGGTGATGAAGCAGTCACTACAATTAGAAAGAAGGTATATGCTTTTCGTCTAAATCATTTAACTACTGACAATTTGCTAGTAGTTCAATATATACCGAATCTTTTCCGAATTAAGACCAAAAAGATTAGGTTGTAGAATTTTCATTTTATATACATGTATACACATAGCTAGAAAGAAGCTACAAATGAATTGAAATTTTTCGCGATAATTGGCTAACTTAAAACCCCACTTTTACTGCAGATTTAGTTCAAATCAATTCAACTACGAACTTTCAAATGGATGTGTTTCCCTGTCGAAATTATTACTAAACTTTATATATCAATTTTTGATATATTATTAAACTGCAATATATCAAACATTTAACACCATACAAATGTAACTGATGAATTAGTAGTATAATAGCGAAGTAATGTAAACATTATTTTCAGAATTAAACAAATAGTGAAGGGATGTTCATTTAGTTATGAATATAATCAGCAATTACTACTAAGTTTATTCTTACTAAGTGGAAGAATTGCTATCAATAATTCATTAAAAAGTGTGTTATAATTACGCTGGATATTGTCCGGGTGTCAGAAAAGTCAAATCATATATACTATACGATAGATTGGTGCTGTGGCTTAATGGTTAAGATCTGACTTTTAATCAGTATATCATATATTTGAGCCTCGATCTATCCACTTCGGTTTGGGCAACAAAGAATTTGTCCTAACATAATACTTAATGTTTAAAGTTGAATTACGTGACCTTGTGTCGTTTGATAATTGAGTTTCAATAATTTGTCGACAGAATGAAAAAGTAAATTATACAATGATGCAATATAATTGTTACAAAAAAGCAATGCCTACAAAGTATATGATGAAATATATGTATCGATAAGCAGAGAAAAAACCACTTCTGAAGTATACAATAAATAAGCATCTTTTACATATTGTTAACAGAAGATAAAATTGTACAAAAATTACAGCCAGAAAGTAATTAGTACGTTCACAGTGAATTATATAAATACTTAAAACAATATGATATATTCCACATGTGATAGGATATCTGACAATACTACTTTAAGGGTTGGATTGTTTTATAGATAGTCACAAAGGTTGAAGAAAAATTGGTCAAACTATTCACGATACGTTTAGCCAGATGAAAGAACTGATGGATAAGTATAGTTTTTATTTGGCACCGAACACTGTAAAAAAGGAAGAAAAAGAAGAGAAATGCGACTTCAGAGACCATATATTAAACAACATATTTTCAAAACGTAAAAGCATAGAAGCAAGGTTGATGTAAGGTTAAATTTGAATGAATAAAAAGAGAAAGCTTTGAAGGTAGTTGTATTGTAATGGAAAGACAAAAACTGAACATATCGAAAACAATTTTATACGAAATAGGGCAGCCCTGAAATAACATTTTCCAACAACACAGTTTGAAAATTTGGTTAACTTAACCGAAATAAGTCTGTTGTGTTAATTTTTAATTAAACAACAGTTTGACCGATATTATATTTAGATTTTAATGCTTTGAGATCCCAGATAATAAATATTTTTACATCAAATAATCACTTAATTTGTAGGAGAATGAGATAAATTTATATAGATATTCGTGCTATAACTACATAAAGGATTTACAGGGAAATAAGAGTTATATTTCGATTCGGTTTGTAGTATATACGATGTATAAACTATAGGACGAAATATTTATTTACATTTGTAGGCATCATTACCAAGGTTTAACTTGATAATTCCGATTAAACTGAACATTGGGTAAACGGTTATAAATGAATAATATATTTGTGATGTCCCAATGAATAGATTGATCACATAATATTCGTGTTGTTCCGTTGTACTATTTAAACTTGAATTAATTTTAATTTGGTTATTTATTCTCTGAAGAAGTGGGTTACACTAGTTCATGAAACGTCAGAAAATCTCATTTTTATACTCATCGGGATATTATAAATATATTGTTTATTTATTTACATTGTAAATGACTTAATGACTAGCAGAAACGATAAATAAATGCAGAATAAGCTGATCTGCCTTCAGTCTGGTTGGAAAACTACAATAACAATCACATTAAAGAGTGGTAACCATTGGACTACTTTTAGTTGAAATGCTAATAATTAATACTTTTCACTGAATTTATCAGTATTAGAATAAACAAGATAAGTCGCAAATGATGATGGTCCTGTCAATTCTGAACTTATATATAGTTATATAATCGAAAAAGCTAAACATTCATGATATCACACAAAAACAGACTATATGCAAGCGGTTAGTGCACTTGCAATAATTAAAACATGTGAGATTGATATTGAACAAGTAGACTACCTGAAGAATGGCGACATGTGGATCATCCATATCACCCAAGTCAATGAAATCTCTTTCTGACGCTCTCATTTTGGCATTTTCAATTATATAATAATATTTCGGTGAGGAAATGCCAAAACTCCATGCCAACTTTTTCCCCACACCAATCAATAACACGCAACAGAATATTGTGGACTTGGACTAACAACAAAAAAACAAAATCGCTCATGATCAAAGTTAAAATAGATACAGATATAAGAGGATTTATCACATTTTTTATTCAAAATTCAGAGAACTTGTATCATCTATCCAAAAGGCCTTGAGAAGACGTTACTCACACACAATAACATACGTCTCAATGCTTCAGGTTATCACAATTCAAAGTATCGCAAAATGAAGTCTTTATGAGTGAAGGATTATTACAACAAGCTGGTTACGCATAGAATAGATTGATAAAATGTGATATTCAACTAAATACAAAGTAGCAATCATGCTTACGGAATGGCGAAGAGTTATGAGTTATGTTACTTAGGGTCTCCAGTTACTGATTTCTAGCCACTCAGCAAGTAAAGACAGATAGCCTACATTTTGGATGGCTCAGATCAGTAAGTAGAAACAGGCAGTGATCAGCCGATTACCGTTTGTAAGTAGTAATTTGAACAAATCTATGATTTGACGGACATCATATGATGTTGATTGGTCAGATACAGTACGACTTTTGGCCATGTTTTCGCTTCATGCTACAGTTCATATTTTGTTTAATCAAACAGGTTATGGTTATGAGCGTGTGACGTTGTCCCCTTTGGAGTTTACTAAGTTTTAAAATACGTTAGCGGGTTTAGTCTTGTTAGTGTGTAGCTTAACCATACTGTAATAATTCCATGATTCATTTTTATTGCTTACAACAGAAAAAGGCTTGTGACAATAGCGGACAAAGAAATCTCATGAGGAAAACTATGTCGTGAAGATGCAAATGTTGGAA